TATACAATTTACAACAAATCCCAGACTTCACTAATTGTCAAACCCTATCTACAGCCATGCCTGTGAGATTTCAGAAATCCAGAGAGAAATTATTTGTAAGACACGGTTCTAATTTTACAGCACATCTCTTGAGGAAAAACAGCACAGAAAGCACAATGTCTTTACCCAATGCACAGACAATAATGAGGTCATTGCATCATCCTGTGAAAACAGCAGCTGCAGGAGGAGAACAGATTACGGGAATCAAACATGTTTGTCTCTAAAGGAACTAAAGGCCCCGGTCATAAACACCTGAAGCCACAGTCCAGAGGAAGCGGTCATTCTGTTCTCAAACTGTTTGTGCTGGCAAGCAGGTCTGCTAACTCACAACAGGATGTATTCCAGAACTACAGAACGGCTGACTGGATCGCTTTGCTACACGGCCAGTCAGGAGAGCTTTATTCAGAGGAAAAAATGGGCTGTTTTGTTCTGTCTGTTTGCTGGAGAATTGGCTGTCTGGCTGGTTTTGAGAGGCTGAGACCGGTTAAGGTGACGTCGTGCTTTTTTTTTCTGATGAAAGTGCTCTCTACTGCGCTGCCCGTGTCAGCCTGACATTTTCTCAATTGGGGTAAAAGAGTGCCTGTGAGGAGGGCTTCGCCTCTTCAGCAGCCTGCTGATAATTGCTTTCTGGTCACTGTAACTTGACCAGACGAGATGGAGAGAGACGTATAAACATACAGACTCTTTGTTTTGCTTCATTTTTGCCTTCTTCTGCCTTAAAAGGCACAGAAAAAAATCCATTTGCTCCAATTATGAGTCCAGGGGAATAAGTACTGTACATCTCAAAGGACCATTTTATGCTGTTTCATAGTTCAAGAAAGTTCACAGAGTACTTAGCAACATTTCATTTATATATCAATTTTGTCTGAGACGTTTTTCTAAAATTCTTTAGAAGAAAAAAATACAGATGACAAAATTTGACATCCATTAAGACTTATTATATTATTTAGACAGACTACTTTATATAAGCGATCTGTTTTTCATACTCTAAAGCTCAAAAATTAAGGCTCAGTGAAATTAAGTGAAGGTTGGACATATACGGTTACAGAAATCTAAAGAAATTACACATATACACACACTGGCCACTTTTCAAGGTACACCTTTGTAGTACCAGGTTGGACCCTTTTTTGCCTTTAGAAATGCCTTAATCATTCGTGGCATAGATTCAACCAGGCACTGGAAATATTCCTGAGATTTTGGTCTATATTGACATAATAGCATAACGCAGTTGCTGCAGATTTGTCAGCTGCACATCCACGATGCAAAGCTCCTGTTCCACCACATCCCAAATGTGTGCTATTCGCTTAAGGTCTGGTGACTGTGGAGGCCAATGTGAACTCATTGTCATGTACAAGAAACTAGCCTGATGTGCTTTATGACATGGTGCATTATCCTGCAGGAAGTAGCCATCAGAACATGGTTACACTGTGGTCATAAAGGGATGGACATGGTCAGCAACATGACTCGAGTAGGCTGTGGCATTGACACCATGCTGAATTGGTACTAATAGGCCCAAAGTTTGCCAGGAAAATATCCCCCTTACCATTACATCACCACCACCAGGCTGGATTGTTGATACAAGCCATACACAGCCATATCACCCTGCAGCCCAAGACCGGTTACTCACAGAAGCTAAGCAGGGCTGAGTCTGGTCAGTACCTGGATGGGAGACACTTGGGAAAACTAGGTTGCTGTTGGAAGTGGTGTTAGAGAGGCCAGCCAGGGGCGCTCAACCTGTGGTCTGCGTGAAGGAGACACTACACTGTCAGTGGGCACTGTCTTTCGGATGAGATGTTAAACTGAGGTCCTGACTCTCTATGGTCATTAAAAATCCCATGGCACTTCTCGTAACCCCGGTGTCCTGGCCAAAGTCCCTCTATCGGCCCTTACGATCATGGCCTCCCAATCATCCCTATCCACCGAATTGGCTCTATCAATGTCTCTCCACTCCACCAATAGCTGGTGTTTGGTGAGTGCACTGGCAACGTTGTCCTGTGGCAGCCACAGTGCCACATCCAAGTGGATGCTGCACACTGGTGGTGGTGTGGAGAGATTGCTAGGCGCTTTGGGTGTATAGCCATACACAATAAATGCGCTATATAAATACACATTGCATTACATTACATTACATTAGGATGGATCCATGCTATCATGTTGTTGACGCCAAATCTGACCTTACCATCCGAATGTTACAGCAAAAATCGAGACTCATCAGACCAGGCATTGTTTTCCAACCTTATATTGTCCAGTTTTGGTGAGTCTGTGTAAATCGTAGTTTTAGTTTTCTGTTCTTAGCTGACAGGAGTGGCACCCAGTGTGGTCCTCTGCTGCTGTAGCCCATCTGCCTCAAGGTTGGACGTGTTGTGCATTCAGAGATGCTCTTCTACATACCTCAGTTGTAACAAGTGGTTATTTCAGTTACTGTTGCCTTTCTACCAGCTCGAACCAGTCTGGCCATTCTCCTCTGAATTGTCATTAACAATGCATTTGCACCCACAGAACTGCAGCTCACTGGATATTTTCTCTTTTTTGGACCATTCTCTGTAAACCCTAGAGATGGTGATGTGCATGAAAATCCCAGTAGATCAGCAGTTTTTGAAATACTCAGACCAGCCCGTCTGGCACCAACAACCATGCCACGTTCAAAGTCACTTAAATCACCGCTCTTTTCCATTCTGATGCTCGGTTTGAACTGCAGCAGATCATCTTGACCATGTCTACATGCCTAAATGCATTGAGTTGCTGCTATGCTATTGGCTGATAAGAAATTTGGGTTAACAAGCTGTTGGACAGGTGTACCTAATAAAGTGGCCGGTGAGTATATATACACTATATAAATATATTTTTACACCTTTTTTGTATAAATTGGTAAGCATCAGGGACTTCTTTCAAATCTTTGAGCAGAATTCGAGAAACTTACACGATTTCAAATTCTACAGAAGAAAGTGTGATCACTTGGTGTTTTTGTCTTGTGGCAGAAATGCCTCAGGCAGCTATTTAATCCATCTAATCAACTGAATAGTTACTCAATTTGTCTGTTTTCTTTAAACATTGAGCTGTTTCAGGAACATCTCCCATTAGGATGCTCATGGAGGTTAGGGGCCGTTGGCTTGCTGACAAGGGAAGCATTTCACAAGTTTTAACTACACCACTGAGAGTTTCAAAGGCTCCATTTAGAAACAAGCAGGAGGGCTGAGACCTTTTCCCCTAAACACCTGTCCACCACAAACACACACAAACACGCACACTCAACAATACACAAACACACAATCATGAACTGAAAAAGCAAGTGAAACACATCATGGGCAAGTTTGGATATAAACAAGATGTGAGACTGCAACTCCAAAACACCTGTTCAACATGAATACACACACAAATCATCAAATGTACATCAATGTTTGAGGATGAACACCAAACAAACATAGAGGGCAAAAAGGCAATAAAAGTAAAAACAACTATATCATGTCTATAACAACTATATAATAATCTCTATCAACTATATAATGAGTATTTTTTATATAGTAAATATAATATAATGCAGGTTGCCCAATAAAGCAATAACAGAAATTACAGCAATATTTTCTTGATAATATTGTAACGTTTTGACTGAAGGTTTAGCATAATGTTTCAAATTGTAAGTAAACGCCACTGCTAATTTGAGCCACACAAAATCCATTTATGCAAATCGCGACTTACAGCAACATGGTGTATGTTTGTTTACATGCGGATAAGTCTTAATTTGGTCCCACAACTATAGCTTCAAAGAAAACAGTTTGAATGAAGTGGTAAATACAAATGTGTCTGTGACCTTTTCATTTAATGCTGGATAAAACAGTACTGATGTAACTGATGACTGATGCAACACTGAGCCATGAACAGTTACAAGCCTCTCACAGAGTTACCATAATTTGCTGCAGTAGCAGTTGCAATATCATGGTGTTGTGGCAGGATTGGGATATTTACATATGAATTATATTATATCATTACGCTTCTGCAGACATATAGTAATGTATTATTGTAATATAATTCCAGTTTGTTGTTGTTAAGCTTTAGCATTCATGCATTTGCATATATATTTAATGAAGTTTGAATAGTGCTTTAATACAGTTATTAATCATGACATTATAGAATATAAAAACCCCTTCCAATTATGAGTTAAGGGGAACGACTTAAAGGAAAAGTGTTATGCTGTTTCACAGACAAACATTTTCTGGAGTTCTTGTAAGAACATTTTATTTACTCATTAATTTTGTCTTAAATGGTTGGTAACACTTTTTTTTAATGGTCCGTTTGAGTTTTAGTAGCCTGTCTGCTGAATATCTGTTGATACTGCTGATAAACAGACATTTAACTGACTATAAGAAACATTGCAAGTACATAACAACTTACACTAACCCTAACCCCAACCTAACAGTCTACTTATAATCTACTGAGATTTAGTTGGCATGTAGATGCAACAAATTCAACAAACGGAACATCAAAATGAAGTGTGACTAAATGGTTTTCTAAAATTCTTTATAAAAATAAAAAGAAAAAAGAAAAATATTAAAATTTAGTTGTATTCCCATTGCTATATCTGGATCTATTTTATATAAATGACCTGTTTTATACAGTACTTTTCACTTATTCTTATAGCTGACATTCACCGTTAAATCCTTTTTGATCTGCAAGTTCTGTGTGCTCGGCTTGTTACACCCAGCATTTGCCCACTGGTGTACACACACACATTAGCAGTCTGATTACAAATTATGCGGTGTTAAACAGTAGAAATAATCAGAAGCAAAAAAATCAAATCCTTTCATCCTTTTAATCCTTTGATATCATCTTTTAAAACATGCCGGAACTTAAAAAAATAAGTTCTATGTCAAGACATTTTATATTTAAATTTATAAATATTTAAATTGTTTTGTTTTGCTAATGCCATAAAGATGACATCACTTTTAAACTGTTGGTATACACACCCTTTATGAGCAAACAGGCATCTTGGTATTGGTTTTGTAGTTGTTTGTGGGTCTGGACTTGGTTCTTCAATTGCAGAATCTGTTCTCTTGCTGGTTCCAGGAATGACTTTAGTTTTGGCACCTCCACCTCCAACGTCTTCAGGTTCACCTGAAGCCCATCCACTTCCTGTTTCAGATGAGCACATTCTGGAAAAAAAACAAAAAACAAACACAAAAGTGATAAGGCTTAGTGAGAAAAAAAAAAGCTTTTTTCATGTTTTGAATAGTAAATTTTTAAAATCATGTTTAATATGATTTGCTATGCACTGACGTCAGTGATATTCAACCCAATATCCAGTATTTTTAAGATTTATAAAAAATTAAAAACAGGCTCAGGAGAAAATATGAATAATGATAAAAACAAGAAATGTAAACGAATGTGACCTGCTGAAATGACAACGAGCTCAGTGAGGTGCAGGGTAATCTAACCAGTATGGTTTCCCCCATCTAAAGCAGACTGGATAATGACAGTAAACAGGCCATTTGAACTGATGGTGGTAGTCACGTTACAAACTGTTTGGGGCAGAGCTGAGGTTCGTTTGGGGTGGCGCTGAAGTAAGTATATGTATTCATGTATGTATGTACATGTATGCTCTTTTGAAATGTCTATAAGTCATTAAATTTTATAAAAAAAAATAGTCATTTGAAAACGTTAAGACACCCTATTTAACCACATATATTATTTTTTTTTACACTAATTTGAACTTCTCATGTAAACTTTCTGTCTTATTCATAATGCATGTATGCACAGTCACCTTAGAATTAAGGTTCTATCTGACATTTTTTGTCAAAATTGAATTATTGACATATTCTTATTAAATGACAACTTATTTACATTATGGGATGTTTTTTTTAAGTTGTTTATATTTTAAGACTTTTTATTTAAAAAACAAAAAAGGTTTTATCTACAAAGTCAAGCTTTAGCTTGGCTCTATAAGGTTTTTTATTAAAAAAATTTTCTGTGAGCCAATCAGCATTTCGAATGCACCAACCAATTAGGATCAGCTTTATTTGTCATTCTGCAAGATTGCTCTGTTGACAGCGAGAAAGACCACAAAATTGATGTGTGTAAATGCGCTGATTTAGAAGTATTTTGGACAATAAGATGAAGGGTTAACTTTGACATTGTTGGAAAAGAAACAGCTATTAAAAATAATAATTTATTAAATGTAAAATATATTTTTATTTGTGCATATATAGAGTCACATTTTTCAGTGTTTATTAAAGTTTGTTAAACAACTCATTTGCTCATTGTGTTTCTTTTTAACGTCTTCAAATTTGATATTAAGCCTTGAAACCCAACTATTTATTTTAATTCACGGGGCATATAATTCAATAACTCTGCTCCACACTAGCATCATGTCTAGACCAATTATGTCCTCTTGCATCCAGGCCAGCCCGTGCCAGTCCTCCTGCACCCTGGCTCTCGGATGCTCTCCGTGAGCATCGCTCAAAACTTCGAGCTGCAGAAAGAATTTGGCGGAAAACTAAAAATCCTGCACAGCTCTTAACATACCAAACTCTTCTGTCCTCTTTCTCGGTTGAGGTTACTTCGGCAAAGCAGACATATTACCGTCTGAAAATCAACAATGCCACTAATCCTCGCCTACTTTTTAAAACATTTTCCTCCCTCCTCTATCCTCCTCCTCCACCCGCATCCTCCACACTTACTACTGATGACTTTGCTACATTCTTTTGCACCAAAACTGCAAAAATCAGTGCTCAATTTGCTGCACCTACAACAAACACGCAAGGTACACCACCAACACCACACACACTCACCTCTTTTTCTCAGCTCTCTGAGTCTGAGGTGTCCAAACTGGTGCTATCTAGCCATGCAACCACCTGTCCACTCGATCCCATTCCCTCTCATCTCTTGCAAGCCATCTCTCCTGCAGTCATACCAACACTGACTCACATAATTAACACATCTCTTGACTCTGGTTTATTCCCCACTTCATTTAAGCAGGCTAGGGTAACCCCACTGCTAAAGAAACCCAACCTGGACCATACGCTACTTGAAAACTACAGACCAGCATCCCTGCTTCCATTCATGGCCAAGATTCTGGAGAAAGTAGTGTTCAATCAAGTCCTGGACTTTCTTACTCAAAACAATCTCATGGACAACAAGCAATCCGGCTTTAAGAAAGGCCACTCAACTGAGACTGCCCTGCTCTCGGTCGTGGAGGATCTCAGACTGGCTAAAGCAGACTCTAAATCATCAGTCCTCATTTTGCTGGACTTGTCAGCTGCTTTTGACACTGTCAACCACCAGATCCTGCTATCTACGCTCGAGTCACTGGGCGTTGCGGGCACTGTTATACAATGGTTCAGATCTTACCTCACTGACAGATCATTCAGGGTGTCTTGGAGGGGTGAGGTGTCCAACCTACAGCATCTAAACACTGGGGTACCTCAAGGCTCTGTTCTTGGGCCACTTCTCTTCTCCATCTACACATCATCTCTAGGACTAGTCATCCAGAGACATGGATTCTCCTACCACTGCTATGCTGATGATACCCAGCTATACCTCTCTTTTCATCCTGATGATCCCTCGGTTCCAGCTCGCATTTCAGCCTGCCTGTTGGATATTTCACACTGGATGAAAGATCATCATCTTCAGCTGAACCTCGCAAAAACGGAAATGCTTGTAGTTTCTGCCAACTCGACTCTACACCATAACTTTTCAATCCAGATGGACGGGGCAACCATTACTGCATCCAAAATGGTGAAAAGCCTTGGAGTAACGATTGATGACCAACTAAACTTCTCTGACCACATCTCTAGAACTGCTCGATCGTGCAGATTCACACTCTATAACATCAGAAAGATCCGACCCTTCTTATCTGAACATGCAGCTCAACTCCTTGTTCAAGCTCTTGTTCTCTCCAAACTGGATTACTGTAACTCTCTACTAGCTGGGCTTCCAGCTAACTCTATCAAGTCTCTTCAACTGCTCCAGAATGCAGCAGCACGAGTGGTCTTCAATGAACCTAAACGAGCACATGTCACTCCGCTGCTACTCCGTTTGCACTGGCTGCCAGTTGCTGCTCGCATCAAATTCAAAGCTCTGATGTTTGCCTACAAAGTGACTTCTGGCCTAGCACCTTCTTATCTGCACTCACTTCTGCAGATCTATGTGCCCTCCAGAAACTTGCGTTCTGTGAATGAACATCGCCTCGTGGTTCCATCCCAAAGGGGGAAGAAATCACTTTCGCGAACGCTCACGCTCAATCTGCCCAGTTGGTGGAATGAACTCCCTAACTGCATCAGAACAGCAGAGTCACTCGCGACTTTCAAGAAACGACTAAAAACTCAACTATTTAGTCTCCACTACACTTCCTAATCTGTAATTGCCTCTCTGAATATCACACTAACTGTACAAAAAAAAAAAAAAAAATACTAATACTACTAATACTTCCCCTTCTTAGACTTTACAGACCTGAAACTTGCTTATAGCACTTATTCATTGTTGCTCTTGGTTGTGTAAATTGCTTCCCTGTCCTCATTTGTAAGTCGCTTTGGATAAAAGCGTCTGCTAAATGACTAAATGTAAATGTAAATGTAAATAAATATAATTCAATAATTCATTTAGAGTACATTTAGGGTCTCTGTCATGTTAATGTATGAAAGAGAACTGTTACACATGTATTGTTTGCTATATGAAATGCAAAAACTTCATTTCGAATCATTTAGAATGCTGATGGAACCTTATAATTCCAAGGTGAAGACATGAGCTTCTTCTTAAACTTCTGTTTATGAATTTGGAGTATAATAAATGAGCGCCCATACAAGGTTAACAATTTGCAAAACACCTGCCCAAAACCAGCTCCATATAAGGGCTTTCCAATATTCTGGTACTCAGAAAAAGACAATTATGGAACTGAATAAAATAACTCTATTAGTAAGTACTTCTCTGGACAACCTTTTAGTCACTGAACAGTCAGTCATCCCTCTCAGCAAGCATGTGCACTCTGCACTCTCAGAAAAATTGTACCATGTTGTACCACAAAAGGTACAAACCTTTTGTCACTGGGGCAGTACCTTTTTATGTGACAGAATTGTACCATAAGACAAACAAATTTGTAACATTGCAGTTTTTACCTTTAAGGACATGATTTGTACCATGGGAAAACAAAATGTACCTTTGGTTTTTAAAACCTGTCTGTCTTCATCAAAGGTACAAATCTGATTCATGAAGGTACACCTACAGTGACAAGACACTTTGTACTTTAATAGTGTCAAAAAATGCTTACCAAATATTTATTTAAAATGCCTTAAATGTTTAGTTTACAATACCTATGATTTTACGTTTTACCAGTTGTTTTGCCTTATTGTATTATAGAACTTAATAGTTATTGTTTACAAGTTTCTTTAAACATTTGCTTTTAAATGATGATTCTAGTTTTAATATGGACATTTTTCATAAAATCACTTTGTCTTTTCAGTCATATTTATTTTTATAGGTATTGTAATAAAGGAGTTTTTGTACCTTTTTATTTAAGAACAATTGTGTACCTTCATTTCAGTTGTACCATAAAAGGCACAGAACAGTATCATAAGATGTCTTTTCTGTACTATATAAGGTCCAATTTTTACAGAGGTACAACTGTTCCTCAAGGAACATTATTAGTACCACCGTGTACCTTTTTTCTAAGAGTGTGTAAAAAGTTGTGAGTCACAACATGACTCTGACATGTTGTGAGTGGCATCAGCTGGCATCAACACTAACACAGTGCATTACATTCCACTTTACTATGAATGAATTGAAATAGCTAGCTCTGTAAGTACGCAATGTGCATGTAAAAACTCACTGTTAGATCATGGACTGCAATGGCAGCAATTTTATATTTTAGTATGCAAGTTTTTGATAAATCATAAACTATTTGTGAAAACATCTATATGAAAATTTCACAGACCAAAAAAAAAAAAAAAAAATTGCACACAGATGTTTAGTGAATGAGATGCATTGTCTTTTTGGAGAGGAACCAAATTTTGTTAAACTTTTGCTGTCGGACAGACAATATATTAGCACACAGCAAAAATCCTAAAAGTTCTGCTGTTAAGGCATTTAATTACCACAGCCTGACTTATTTTGTTAATGCTATTTTATTGTTCAACTGAGGTTTTATATATATATATATATT